TTCCTTGTCCCCTAACTTGTCCCCCTTGTCCTCTTCCTCGAGACCCCCCACCCTAACTGCCCCCCCTAGGACCCTACCCCCTACCTGTCCCCTGACTGCTCAAAACCTAACACCCCCAACCCCCAGACAGCCCCTCCCCCCGAACTCCTGACCCATCCAACCCTGCTCCCTGTCTCTTGACTGCCCCCTACCTCCCTGCCCCTTCTCTGACCCCCTAGCCCCCTTACCGTGCCGCTCAGAACAGCGTGTTGGGCTCCACGCGCAGCCGGACACGCTGCCGCGCTCCCCCATGGAGCGCATAGCCCGGTTCCCGCTCTTGCAGAGTGTTGCGGAGCGGCGCGCTGGGCAGGGGGAGGAGCTCCAGACTGCCGGAGGCCCAAACGTCCGGCGATCTGCGAATGCAGGGAGGGAGGGAGGGAGGGAGTGATCTCAGCTGCAGGGGAGAGGAGGGGGAAGCGGAGGAGGGGCTCTCTGGCTGCCGGAACCCAGTGCAAGTGGCACCATCCGGCCGGCTGCCCTGTTAGCCGTGCGCGCTCTGCATGAGGGGGAAGTCCGGACATTTACAAATTCCCCCCAGACGCTCTTTTTAACTCAGAAAAGCCGGATATGGCCGGGGGAATCCGGACGAATGGTAACCCTAAACAGTATTATCACCTGGGCAGTTATTCTCCATTTTGTAGTTGTGCATTTGATTTTTCCTTCCTATTACTTCGCAATTGTCCGTACTGAATTTCATCTTGTTGAGTTCAGATCAATTCTCCAATTTGTCAGGCTCGTTTTGAATTCTAATCCTGCCCTCCAATGTTCTAGGAACCCTCCCACCTTGGTGTCATCCACAAATTTTAGAAGCATCTTCTCCACTCCATTATTCAAATCATTAACGAAAATACCGAATAGTACTGGACCAAGGACACACCTGTGGAACCCCACTAGATACATCCCTCCAGTTTGATCACTACTCTTTGAGCATGGTCCTTCAACCAGTTGTGCACCCACTTTATAGTAATTTCATCTAGAGTTCTAGACCACGTTTCCCTTATGAGAATGTCACTTGGGGCTGTGTTAAAAGCCTTACTAAAATCAAGATATACTGAACAATGGAAGGATTATAGGATTATCCTCCCCAGTGTTGCCATCTGGCATGAGACTTTGTCTTTTTCTTAAAGCCCCAGCTTCTGGAGTCCTGGGATAGGAAGAGAATTGCAGCTTCTTTTTTCTTTCTTCTCATTTTTTTAAAAAGTAAGTTTCTAGCCTTTCTGGTTGGGGAGAAAATCTTGAAAACGTGACTCCCACAACGGCAAATAAAAAGAACCTAGCTAGCATTTATTATTCTTCAAAAAAAAAACCTCAATTTTTATGCCAATCTCATAATTTTGGGGGTCTGAATTCTAATTTTGGAACAGGTGGGAGTTGGCAATACTGTGCCCCTATGCAGTCAGATGGGGCCGCTCACCAATGGGAGGAGGGAGGCTGAGCAGTTGTCTATGGAAGATGTTCATAGGTACTGTAACTAGGGGTGGTGGGGGGTGCAGCTTGAAGTGGTTTCCATTATATACATGGTTTACAGTTTGGTTCAATGACTTTCAGCACCCCCACTATTCAAATTGTTCCAGCCCCCCTGGAGGTATCTAGAGGGTCTCTTTCCTCTCTATAGCAGTGGTTTTCAAACTTTTTTTCTCATGACCCAGTTGAAGAAAATTGTTGATGCCCGTGACCCAACGGAGCTGGGGATGAGGGATTTAGGGTGTGGGAAGGGCTCAAGGCTGGGGCAAAGGGTTGGGGTGCAGGGGTGAGTGCTGCAGGGTGGGGATGGGAATGAGGGCTTCAGGGAGTGGGAGGGGGCTCTGGGCTGGGGTAGGGAGTTGGGGTGCATGAGGGGGTCAGGGCTCTGGGCTGGGGTGCAGGCTCTGGGGGGGCTGGGAATGAGGGGTTTGGGGTGCAGGAAGAGGCTCTGGGTTTGGGGGACTCAGGGCTGGGGCAGGGGATTGGGGCATGGGGTTGGGGCTTACCTCGGGCGGCTCCCAGTCAGCGGCACAGCAGGCTTCCTGTCTGTCCTGGCACCGCGGACCGTGCTGCGCCCCAGAAGCGGCCAGCAGCAGGTTCAGTTCCTCGGCGGAGGGAGCACAAGCGGTTTCGTGTGGCTCTCATCCACAGGCACCGCCCCCCCAGCTCCTGGCCAATGGGAGTGCAGAGCTCGGGGCAGGGGAAGCACACAGATCCCCGTGGCCCCCCTGCCTAGGAGCCGAACCTGCTGCTGGCCGCTTCTGGGGCACAGCGCAGTGTCAGAACAGGTAGGAACTACCCTGCCTTAGCCGGGCAGCATCGCCTACGGGACTTTTAACAGCCCAGTTAGCGGTGCTGACCAGAGCTGCCGCGACCCAGCGCCTTCCATTCCGCGACCCACTACTGGGTCGTGACCCGCAGTTTGAAAACCACTGCTCTAGTCTAGAGGCTCTGAGAGGCACTTATTGATCTCAGTGCATAAAGCCAAGTGCCCACAGGAGGTTCCTATCTTGAGAGACTAGGCACGGGGCCTTTCTCACTGAAGGCCTAGGAGGGAAGGATAGGGTGACCAGAGAGCAAGTGTGAAAAATCAGGATGGGGTGGGGAGTAATGGGAGCCTATATGAAAAAAGCCCCAAATATCGGGACTGTCCCTATAAAATCGGGACATCTGGTCACCCTACTAGACCCTCGCTTTCTCAGGGCGCCCAGAGGGCTTGCAAGGGCTCTCCCTTCTTGGGGGGGGCGGTGCTTAGGGGTGTCACTCATGGATCC